CGCATGTCCCGAGTAGAAGCCCTTTCTTTCTTGCCTCGTCCGTCACCTGGCAGAAGATGAGAACTTGCTTCACGCCGGTGATCCAAGCTCCCCATTGCTGAGGGCGCGCCGTGTCGAATGGCTGTATCAGCCCTGATCCCGGAGCAAGGGCCATTGTGCTGGTCGGTTGCGGCCGGGAAGCGGATTGCTCACCCTCGGTGCTCATCAATCGACGGAGCGCGGGCGGCGGTGCGTTGTCTTCCCCTTAGCGTCCGACAGCCCGGCTGGTTGCTCAGCGGGATCCCACCTTCGTCGCCATTGAAGTGTAGTGGGTTAGACGCGTAAAGAAAGCATGGAGGCTGATGTAGTGATCAGCATGGCTTTACTGGTACACAACAAGACTAAAGACTAACGGCCGGCAGGGCAACTATATACACAGTCCAGGGGCTTCCCCTGGTCCCATTGGTGGGTTTGAATCTCCCGCCAAGGTCCCATTGGTTCCCCCCAGTGGAGGGACTAGAATCCTAGTCCCATTGTTGTGCCGGACTGAAGCTCAGGAGTGTGCGCTGACCTCCGGTGGTGGTCAGCGGACACAACAGGACCCATTTTGATTTTTAAAATGATTTGATGGAACCAACCAATAGTACAAAGGTGAAAACATCCAACACAGATAAGCATCCAAAGAAAAAACACTCACATACCCTTCTAAATTTTGTTCACTGATTAAAACTTTACACAATACACAATACAAAATAAGTTGCCAGGAGATATTACACTTACCTTGAAACATATGAGAGGCTATTTTTCCTTAAAACAAGGGAGGAGAGTCAGGTACTTGAAAGACCAGACTAATTTCAGACCTGCTCCTAGATAATGCCATCTAATATGACTTCTTTTGTCTTGCAAACTAAAATTATTTTCCAGTTTTGTTTTCCTGCTGCTCTGAACTTAGCTTTATGGACAGAACTGGGGAAGGGATTGATAAGTACTGTCCTCTTATTATTTTTAAGGGAAAGATACTTGAATCTTATTATATTGCTGGGTTTTTTTTTTAATAACTGGAAATTAATAAGAAGGCATCAGATTAAATGCCTGAAGTATTCCTTACTTCTAGAAGCTTAAGAAGCAGAAAAACAAGGAGAACAACAAGCAATTGCTGCTTCAGGTGCCACAAGTTCAGAAGCAGCAGTTCTGGCACCAGGGAAGTAACATATTTCCTCTACTTCATCTCTTAATATGTTGATATCTTGGGGGGGGGGCTATGGCTTTGCTTGACATGCAGAGGGCCCCAGCATTTCCAGTTAAAGTATCTAGCAGATGGTGATGTGAAAGATCTCTGCCTGTGAAAAGTATGCAGACGGAGAGCAATCTCAGCTCAACCTACTTTTACTTAGTTCAGAACAAGACAAAGAAGCCGGCTCGCAGGCCGGCGTATATGCCCCAGGAAAACACCCACCCACCCACACACCACACCCATGATTGGCTATTTACAGTGTCCGCGAGATCCATAGGCTCTCGGTTGGGATCCGAGCCCTCCTATTGGTGCGGGCTAGGATCCACTTGACCATTTGTTCTCATACCCGAAGCTCTGCTGCTTCACCTGACCGCGTGGCGACCTGGTCGCCTCCGCGGTTGGGGATGAATACATTACAGCCTGAGACCCAGGAGAGCCACTGCCAGTCTGAGTAGAGAATACTGACTTTGATCGACCTGATTCAGTACAAGGAAGCTTCACGTATCCATACTTCTATTACCTGCCAGTCACAGCCATGACTTCCTGTATGGGTTAGGCCAAAGGGAAGGAGGATCAGGAATGTTTCCACAGCACAGATTAAACATTTTCCTTTAGACTTTCCCTTCAGTCCCTCTGGATTGAAAAGGCCTAAAAACTTGCTTTTTTTAAAAAAAAAATTGAAAACATGTCACGAAATGGTCCAAAAAGGTGCTGGGTGGCATGCCCGCATTCGAGGTAAAATACAGTCAACCAAGCAGTATGGCGACTGTGTCCCAATCTTAGTATCACAGCATTCTGGCAGAGGAGGCTCAATTCCCCAAACTCTAGCTCTGCCCATTCACTGAACATCAGAAAGTTAACCAGAAGATTATAAATAGGGGAGAAGGACCCCTCATTCACTCAAGCAAAGGCATCAATGGAGTAAGATTAATGCTCAGGTTTAATATCTCAAGTTGAATAACATGCACTGAGATTTGATGTGACCTAATTCTTCTCCCAGTCCTACAAAATTAAATCACATCAGCACTTTGCACATTACTTGTGCAATCCTAAGCAACATTATACCCTTTAAAATATACCCTTTAACAGATTTAGAAGGACGTAACACTGCTTAGGATCACACTGTTTTCCCCCAGTGTGCTTCAGAAGAGATAAAATTCCCATTAATGTTCATAAACAGGGTTGCCAGCCCCCCCCCCCCCCCGGGGATGAGGAGTAAAGTTGCCAGATCCAGGTTGGGAAACTCTTGGAGATCTGGGGGTAGAGGCTGGGGAGGATAGGGACCTCAGAAGGTACAATGCCATAGAGTCCACATTCCAAAGCAACCATTTTCTTTGTAGTCTGGAAATTCCAGGAGATCCCCAGGCCTAGGGTTACTAGATCCCTCCTGGCAACTGGCAGGGGGTGAGGGGGGACTTAGCAGGAGAAATAGGAAGGCCCAGGCCATGTTGCTGGTGTTGCACAGGAAGGGACATCAGCATGCTGTAACACCGCTGTGATGCTCTGGCAAAAACTCTATGATAAAAATGGCTTCTACCATAGAGTTTTTTCCAAAATACCAGAGCATCACATGGACATCACTGGCATGATGATGTCACTTCCTGTGTGATGCCAGTGACATTGCCTGTGTCTTCCTCTTTCTCCTGGTAAGTCCCCCTGCCAGCCAGCTGATCGGTGACTGGGGGCCGGGGCTTGGCAGTGGGTGACCCTCACCTCCACAATGGGGGGGTCTGGCAACCCTACCCAGGCCACATCTGGAGGCTGGCACCCCAAGTTTAGTCAGCAGACATTCAAACTTAATATTCCTCAAAACAAATTTTAAAGATCTCAATAATTTATATTTCTTATACACTGTCACCACGACTTGTCAAAACTGAAAGAACTGCAATACATTTAGAGTTGACTGTCATGAGTGGAAACACTAGAGACACACAAATTCCATTTTTCATTTTAAGTGAATCAATGAATGCTTGTTTAGGCATAGTTTTTCTTTTTTAGAATAGTACTACCTATAAGAAGAGACAAGTGCTGCCTGCCACAAAAACAGTAACCTTTTATTGAACTGTCCCACAGTGCCTGGAAATGCATATTAACTTTCCCCATGTCATGTCTGATGTCATGTGATGAGGCATCTTGTGGGCTGTTACTCCATATTACATGCGACTGGGAGAAAACTCATTTTTGGGGATGCCGTTGCTAGCCCATCATGAGTCCAGTGATGTGAAGGCTCGCTTTTAGTAAGCAGAGAGAAAAACTGATTGCAGTATTTATACTTTCCTGTGGCTACTGATATTTTCTAAAGTTTTAGAAAGAAAGAGGGCACCTTCCTCACGCTTGAACACTGGCGTTAAAAAACACTTTCATTCCTTTGCAGAATTGGGTGAGTAACAGCCATTGCTTCCCCAGGGCCACTTGACATGGATCTTGCTGACATCGTCCTGCCATTGACGGAAAACACACTGTCCCTCCTGACCTCTGTACTGTCACTCAGCAGCACCTTCAGGCCCATCACCTGCATGAATTTCTGGTAAAACTCTTTGGATGCAAAGTAGTAAATGAACGGATCTATGCAGTTGTTGAGGCAGCTGAGCCCCAAGGTGAGTTTGTAAATGTGGTAGTAACTCTTATTCAGGTAGAGGCGGCTGATCATGTGGACAAGCAGGATAAAGTTGTTGGGGGCAAAGCAAGTGATGAAAACCAGGAGGACAATTACAGCCAAGTAGATTGACCGTGTCTTCTGCCCATTGCCGTATCGGTTGGATGCCTGGACAAGCTTCCGAATAATGCCAATGTAGCAAGCCACTGTCACTGTGAATGGGATCAGGAAGAAGAGAATGAACAGTGATAAGAGGAAAAGTGCCCAAGCTGGTATGCTAGGAAGCATGCTCCACTTGAGGACATCAAAGCAAGTTGTGATGTTTAGCTCTTCCACTTTATAGGTCAGGTCTGTCTTTGCGAGTGGAGACAGGGCTAATAGTAGGGCAGCCCACATCACCAAGCACCCTACCAACGCGTATCTCTTTCTTCGCCATTTGACTAGCTTCATTGGGTACACCACTCCCAAGTAGCGCTCCAAGCTGATGCTAGTCATTGTAAGTATTGAGGAATACATGTTTGCATAAAACATCACGGTGACAACACTACACAAGTTGTTGCTATACAACCAATTGTTCCCTCGGATGTGATAGGCAATTTGTAAGGGAAGACAGCAAGCCAGTACTAGATCGGTGATACTAAGGTTAATCATGAAGATGACAGAAGGCGTTTTGGGCTTGATGTGAAAGAAGAAAACCCAGAGGGAGAAGGCATTTCCGGGAATGCTGATTAAAACCACCAGTGAGTACAAAAGTGGCAATGTGCTCATGATAGTTGGGTTCTTAAGCATGGCCAGTGTTTCATTATCCAACTTGGAAATATTCTTGTCCATTGTGTGCAATCGTTGGCTGCTTGAAGTCGGCAGGATTGTATCGAGAGCTTTAAGACTGCAACCTAGAAGATGGGCATAAAAAGACAAAAGATGAGTTAAAAATAATAAATGGAAATAAAGCATTACAATTCTGTCTACAGTTCAGCCTCATCTGAGGATATTGTAATTGTGTGTTTTATCTTGTTTTATATATCAGCATGCGTGCCTTGTTGTTAGCCGCCCTGAGCCCGCTTGGTGGGGAGGGCGGCCTATAAATTGAATTATAAATAAATAATAAATTGTTTCATTACCTTTTGATGACTTCAACAACAATGACAATACATCATCAATAATACTAACTGCTGTTCGGGTAGCCCAATATTGGCAGAGTCAGGAGGAAGAACTATTTCAACAACAACGACAATACATCATCAATAATACTATCCTAACTGATTGAGAAATGAGGCTGCTGTCCGGGTAGCTCAATATTGGCAGAGTCAGGAGGAAGAACTTGTTGTGAAGCTGGCCAGGTTCAATTTTCCCTACTAAAATGGTTCATTCTGGATTTGTTTTGGCACTTGTTCCCTCCAGATAGTTAAATCATGAAAATGTTTAAAACTTTTTGGAATGAAGAACAAGTAAGGGGAAATGTTGGGAAGGCTTGGAGAGCACCAGGCTTTGGTAGCTCTGCTTTTACTTGACAGATAGATCTCAGGTGGTGGTGCTGGGGCACTGCTGCTCAGCCTAGAGGCATTTATGTGATGGGGTCCTGCAGGGCTCCATCTTGTTCTCCATGCTATAGAACATCTACATGAAACTGATGAAAGAGGTCGTCCAGGGATTTGTGGATGACACCCAGCCAGAAGGCAATGGGATGGATGAAGGTCAATAAGCCGAAGCTCAATCCAGACAAGACCAAGGAGTTATGGGTCAACAGAGAAGCTGGTTGAGGACTTTGGAGTCAGCCTGTCCTGAAGTGGGCTTCACTGCCCCAAAGAAGCAGGTTCATAGCTGGAAGGGGTTTTTTTGCTATCGGATCCTGGCCTACAGTTGGAGGCTCAGCTCTCCTCTGTGGCCGGTAGTGCCTTTTATCAGCTTCAGCTGCTACACCAGCTGTGACTGTTCCTCAAAAGCACCATCAGGGCATGATGTGATCACCAAATTAGATGACTGTAATGCGCTCTATGTGGGACTACCTTTGAAAATAGTTCAGAAATCTCAATTGGTCCAAAATTTGATGGCCAGTCAGGGGTTGATTACAAGAATGATATCATCCTAGTTGTAGACCTGCCCTGGTTACTCATCTGTTTCTGTGCACAATTCTGTGGGCTGTTTCTTTCCTCTAAGTCCCTAAACAGCTGGGGAACCAGATACCCAAAGGACTGATTCCTCCTATACTATCCAGCCTGCCAGTTATAATCTGCCTCTTAAGTCCTGCTCTCTCTACCCCACCCTGCCTTCAGAGGTGGTGGTGGTGACTTCTTAAAATGGCCTGCTTCTGCTTTAAGGTCTGTTTTATGGCTACCAGGGCCGGCCCGAGGAGTTTCTGCACTCTAGGCGAGGCTAGCTTGTGGCGCCCCTGCACCCCCCAGGCAAGGCTGCCTTGTGGTGATCCAGAGGCTGCGGGAGCTTGAGCTGGGCCAGGCGGTGGCAGCAACGGCTGAGAAGGAAACTGAAGGAAGGCGGCAAAAGCATAGTGGGACTGCACCTCTTGTCACTGGCCTCCTAAGGGGCACCTCTTCCTCCTCATACTGCGCCAGTGGCGACGCTGGAGGAGGCCAGCGCTGCATGGGGCGGATGTGGCGGCACCAGGTTACTGAGCAACTCTGGCCTGGGGAAGAAGCTTCACAGTGTGCCTGGCTTCCCCGGCCTGGTGCCTCCATGATGGCCCCGTGCTCTAGGCGAAAGTCTAGTTCACCAAGTGAGTGAGCCGGCGTGATGTCTACTTTTGTTCAATGGCTTGATTACAATAGCTTGTTGTTTTATATAGTGACATTATTTTAATTGTAAACTGTCTCAAGCAGAACTCTGATGAGGCAGCATAGCAATATTCTGAATAAATAAATGAAGTTTTATAGAACCTACTTGGATTGGTGACACTGCCCATAACTTTCCAAGTTACAAAAATATGTTCATTATGGAGAACAGAAATGAACACTTACAGTGCCATTCTAAGCAGAGTAAACATGTTTTGAAGAGTGTAACTATGTAGGATGGCGCAGTATGTCACAGACACAGCACAGTGATTTACAGATCTGCCGTTCAGTTTCTTCGGCCATACAGCAGCCTGTTCATAAAATTCATTTCAAATCCATTTATATAGAAAAGCCAAAGCCAAGATGTTCATCTGACCAAGACTGTAGGATGACAATCATTTGTAAGAAAGCTGAAGATAGCATAAGTGACCCAGCTGAGCTCTGAGCAGGAGCAGGAGACAGAGCTGCTAGAGGGGTGAGTGTTTTTTTACTTGCTTTCAGCTGAGTGGATTCAGCTGAGGATATTGTGTGGGAGGACTGGTCTGGGAGTGTGTGAAAGTGCTTAGAGTTGTTGCAGAGTCCTGGCTGCTTGAGAGAGGGAGAGGAAGGGGCATTGTTTGACTGTGATTGACTGTAATTCAGTATTTAAGAAAGCACCTTGCCAGAGGCACGAGACTCTGGCATGAGCTGAAGGGTGAGCTAAAGGGCTCTTTGCCTGTGGCTCTTATCCTAGGGACTCTTAGACTAGTAACTCTGTAAGAAGCCTAAGAAGAGCCAGAAAGCCAAGGCCCTAGGCTCTTTGTCTTCCCCGTAAGGTAAGTTGACTTTGACAAGAAAAACCACATAAATACAAAAGGTTTTAAAAGGGGGATTATATTTACTTACTTTAAAAGAATTATGAAGCCAGAATGCCAGCAGGGGGTTGGGGGCTATCCAGTGTTTCGCACAGAGTGTCACATGTATGACTATCTGCCCACTGGACAGAAGTCTTGGGTGTGTGCTCAGTGCAAGGAGCTCCTGGTTCTCAGGGAACGTGTTTGCTCCCTTGAGGCCAAGGTGGCTAACCTGGAGATGCAGAGACAGTCAGTTAGGCACACAGAAAAGACTCTCGGGGACTTGATAGATATGTCCCACTCTGGATCTGGCAGCCCCGCCGCTGTGAGGGAGCATGAGGGTCAAGGAGAAACAGGGCACTGTGCTGAGGATAAGGGGAATGTGCCCTCAGAAGGGACCTTTTCCCCAGCTGGTGAGCGGGTATCCTTTCGCACCAAGGAACCATCCCTGGGCAGGGTGGGAGGGGGGCTCTTGGTAGTTGGTGATTCAATCCTTAGGCAGGTAGACAGCTGGGTGGCGAACCCGCGTACTGACCGTATGGTGACTTGCCTGCCTGGTGCGAAGGTAGCAGACTATACGTGTTTTAGATAGGCTGGTAGATAGTGCTGGGGAGGAGCCAGTGGTTGTGGTGCATGTCAGCACC